AAAAAAAAAAAAAAAAAACATCTTTACAATTCTCCTACAGCCATTATTTCAATAGGGTAAAAGCTTAACAAAAGATTAGCAAAATGAAACATACGACCAAGACATCGGTTTTTTACTCGTTTGGGAATCAAAATATAACATTTAGATTTACGATAAATTAATAGAGACATTGAAAAAAGAAGAATAATTTGTCACCTTCAATTCATTGTAAGCTGCATAATACTGGGGAAATTTACCCCCAGGTCCCCCTAAAGCTTCTTGCCAAGAATCAATCAAAACCAGAATCTTCTCCCTCACGTTTAAATCGGGCTACAAATTCATCATCGCTTATATAAACTTGATGAAAATATGAGTAAGGAAAACGATGGAGAAAACATCAGCAAAGCCCAAAAAAAAAGGTCACAATACCTTCTTCTTCACAATTTTGACCATATCGTGTAATATGTCCCTCTCTGCAATCTGCTGAAACACATTTTCCCCACAATTTTTGCTAAGAGTCTCCAGCACCTGAATCGTTAATTATCAGGAAAATATCTTACACATACAAAAGTGCACGCTATTCAAAAGTCTGAAAAGTAGAATTAACTCTATTAATCAATCAACCTAGACACTTTTTAGGGGAAAAATAGTAATAATATTATAATAATTATAATGATAGTAGGAGCACAAACTTACAACAAGCGCAAGGAGCTGTATTTGAGGACTTCTATTCCCCAATTTTTTCTTCAATATCTTTAATGCATCATTTGCTTGCCTGCGATATAGATAGAATTTAACATTAGTGATTCTAAGAACTTAGAGAGCAAATCACAAGTGGATGCGTACCCAGGTTCCGTGTTTATTATGTCGCATAATTCAATATTTATGGCCCAATCCGGACCGATCAGCATGTCACTGGTAGCCCTCTCAGCAACAGCCGCCCCATTGGCCATATTTGGGTTAGTTTCTATTCAGACGACCGTTTGAATTCCTAAAAAACAAAATCAAACTATGTCATCAGCTCCGGTGACATGCGTTTACCAAGAAACAGATTGCACGCAATTTGTTTTTGTAGATAACGAATCGAAATCAACTGCCGAATAACGAATTTTGTGAAATTCAACAAATAGAAGATGATCAAAACAATCGACGAAACTGAAAACAGACAAATTCAACTCACAAGACACATACATCTCAATAGCATCACCTTCAAATTATGAAGCGCCAACTCACATATATATTAGAAATGCACGACAAACAGAAAACTCAAGAACAGCATGAATTAAAATTCAACGAACTCAATTAAAAAGGAAGACTCTAATTAAAAGGGGAAAGTTTACTATCTAATGAACATTCAGAACTCATTCAGATAACTACACCAAGAAACCTAATTCAAGGATTCGAACGCACAAAAACAAACGACAAACTCCAAATCATCCCCCCACCATAACATAATTGCAACAGAAAATTGCAAAAAAAAGCCTCAAAGATCACAACTTTATTCAAAAATCAAAAAAATAAAAGCAAATAAGACGGACAACAGTTCGAATTCAAGCATAATAAAAATCAAAACTTGCGAAATCAAGGTGATCGGCCGACCCCAGAATATTAAAAGGGAAAAAAAAAAAAAAAAAAAAAAAAAAAAAAAAAAAAAAAAAAAAAAACTGGACAAGATCCAAAGATTACCTGCCCAAAACCCTCGAAGTCCCGTCGAGCCCAGAAGACGAATAGCTCAGGCTTTTTAGCTGAGAGCTCTGTGACAAATCTTGAGCGAGTAATGCGTGATGAAATTTCAACCTTTGGACCTTAAAACCTTTTTGATTTCATGGGAAAAAAGTTTTTGAAACGCAATTTCTAGTTATTGCTGTGTACTGTTTTGGTTTTATATATTTATTCATTTACTCGGTGAGTCTGTATTTGTCTTTACAAATTACAAATAGGCAAACTTTAACGAGCCAAATCAAAATTTGGCCCTAATAGATAAGTTTGAGTTTAATTCATGGACTAGTACAATACTAGTGTGTTACACAGAGTACTTGCTAATTTTCCTTTCTTACAATTTAAAATTAATGAAAAAAAGTGGTTGAACGTTTAAATACTTTTTATTAAAAAAGAATATATAATTATATATTTTAGTATGACAATTTGTTATTTATGCGACTTAGTTGTGTTATATTATAATATTTTTCTAGCTTATAACACATAAATACATTAAACATAAATATATTAATTCAGAAATAAATTTATTTTTCTAATTAGTTATAATAAATAATTATATTATTATTATAAAGATTAATATAATGTCAAATCGAAGTTCATCATAAGATAATTAATTTAATATATTATATATATGTAAAACCGATAAGAAATACAAAATTTATCAACTTTTAAAATACATTTACAATTAGATGGTTATAATAGGAAATAATATTAAAATACAATTAATACATCTAAAATGGTCATAAATAAATCAATATATTTATGGTAATCCGAACCTACTTTTTTTGGGTTGAAATTAAATTAAAATCTATCCAAACCAAATAATGAAGCATGGAATTTTGACATCTAGGATCCCGAAGCATGTGAACCTGCCACTTAAGCTCAGCATATTCGGGAATAATATATAGGGAGATACGGAGGATGTTAACGATACTAATTCAAGTTTGGTGATAACTAAAATACAAAAAGTTCATAAAATTGTATACGCGTCTTTTTTTTTTCCAAAAACGATAGGCATTCTCATTAACAACAAGAAAGGATCAAGGATCCAATAATTACAGACAAGTTCAAATGGCCGACGGCAAAGCCAGAGAGCACTACTAACATAAGTAGGCTAGACAACAAAATAGAACAACACCAAAGGCAGAATAACAGCCTGGATCCTCCAGTGAGAACAAACCAATACAGAAAAAAGAAAAGCTAGACTAAGATTGCAAACTGACCACTGAACTACCAACATAGACCTAGAAAGTCTGTTGTCTAGTCCGCAAAGGCCTGCAGCTGAGACTGAGTTCTTGCCATTCATGCTATGCTCCTCTAATAATGCTCAGCTTAGGTCTCCAAAGACCTTCAAAGACCCAAAGGTTCCTCGACTTCCATAGCCACCAAAGTATATAGGTAGTGAGCTCGATTCTATCCTCAGTGGCTTTGGATTTGTCAATGGAACATATTGTACCCCACCAATCCTCAAAACTGCAGTTATCCACTTTAATCCCATCCTAATTAACTGGACTATGCTTCCATACTTTCCTGGCTCTAGCACAAGTCAGAAATAAGAGTTCAACTGTTTCAACATCCTCCCCACAACAAGGACAGATAGGATCAACATCTACCCCTCTGCTTTTCAGTCTGAAATTAACAGGTAAAGCCCCAGAAACACATTTCCATAAGAAATGCTTAACCTTACCTTTCACTTTGATGCACCAGCTTCTGTGTCTAACTTGTTGATTCCTCTGGATGGTTCTACTGCCCTAAGCAATATCTATAGTAAGAAGTTTTCTGAGATGGAGGAATGCATAGGAAGATGAGACAGAGAATTTGCCTTGGGACCCCAGATTCCAGCACCACTTGTCTTCTTGATGAATAGTTGAGAGTTTGATTTTTAGAAGTTCTGTGCAGTCCCTTTCCTCAACTCTATCTCTGATCATCTGCTCCTTCCACATTGAGTCTTCATCAATAAGGTCCTTCACCCAAATTTTACCAATTTCTGCTCCACCTTTGAGTTTGAGGCCTCTGTTTTTTATTCCAGGCACCCAGTTAAAATCTTGCAATCTTACTGAGGAGCCATCTCCCACTTGAACTGACAGACCTTCCATGAGGAGCCATCTAACTTTGAACCAGGATCTCCAAAGCCATGAGGAACTGGATTTTAGCTTAGCTTCAAAAATGGATGTGTGGGGGAAGTATTTGGGTTTGATAAGTCTGCTCATGAGGAGCTGGGGTTGTGTAACTACTCTCCATAGTTGTTTGACTAGCATAGCTTCATTGAACAACTTGATATCTTTGAAGCCTAAGCCACCCTGAGTCTTAGAGAGAGTAAGAAGATCCCACTTCTTCCAGTGGATACCTGAAGTATGGTCACTCCCTTTGCTCCACCAAAACCTAGCAAAAATGCTGGCCACCTCCTTGCAAATGCTGATTGGCAGTCTGAAGCATGACATGACAAATAGGGGTAAAGCATTTAACACTAACTTTATAAGAACCTCCTTACCTGCTGAGGAGAGGAATTTAGATTTCCAGCTAAGTATTCTATTCTCAACTGCCTCAGAGACAAACCTGAAAACCTCCTTTTTTTGAGTGGCCAATACCAAGGGGTAATCCCAAATATCTTGTGGATTTCTGGATTTGAATACCTGGAAAAAGTTGACACACTGCAATCTGGGTCTGAGAGTTGGTGTTCTTACTGAAGAATATAGAAGACTTACAAGTGTTGATACTCTGCCCTGAGAAGCTTTGATATCTGACCAAAATGGAATTGATCACCCTTGCTTGGTACTCACTAGCTTTACAGAACAGCAGAGAGTCATCTGCAAAGAGCAGATGAGTAATAGAAGGAGCTCCCCTGGCAATGGACAAACCCCTGTAAGAGCCTCTTTCCTCTTCAGCTGAAATAACTGCAGATAAAAGTTGGGAGACTATGATAAATAGGTAGGGGGACAGAGGGTCCCCTTGCCTAATTCCCCTCTGAGCCCTGAGATGACCACTAACACTGCCATTAATAATGAAAGATAAGGATACAGTTGATACACACTCCATAATCCAGGTAACAAATTGCTGAGCAAATCCCATTTTAAGCATTGTTAACCTGATACGCCTCCATTCAATTCTATCAAATGCCTTCATCATGTCTAGCTTTAAAGCCATGTAAGAATGGGGATCAGTTCTATGCCTGTTTAAGAATTGAAGTCCCTCGTTGGCAATAACCACATTGTCAGTCAATTGTCTATCAACTAAGAAAGTAGACTGAGCCTCATCAATACAGTCATTCAGACAGTTCTTTAATCTACTAGCCAGGATTTTAGAAATCAATTTGTATATAACAGCACACAGGCTAATTGGCCTGAATTGGCCAAGCTGCTCAGGATTGCTACATTTAGGAACCAAAGTAATAAGGGTATGGTTCCAGTAGTTGAGAAGTTTACCTGACTGAAAAAAGCTCACCACAGCTTCACAAAGATCAGCCTTGACCAGGGGCCAAAAATGTTGAAATAAGAGTGCTGGCATTCCATCTGCACCTGGGGATTTTCTAGGGTTCATAGAAAATAGTGTCTGTTTGATTTCAGCTTCTTCTACTGGGGCAAGCAGGTCTACATTAGCTGAGTCAGAGACGGTACTGTGGATGTGCTGCAGCAAGTTATCCTCTCCAGAGGAGCCTTCTGAGGTGAAAAGCTTTTTGTAAAAAGAGACCACATGCTCCTCTATATCTGCAGCTGATTCACAAACTCTTTGCTGATCCGTAACTAGTCTTGTTATGGCATTTTGTCTCCTTCTTTGCATCACCCAAGCATGGAAAAAATGAGTGTTTTGATCACCTTCCTGGAGCCACTGGGCTCTAGCTTTTTGCTGCCAAAAGACTTCTTCAAACTGGTTCATCTCATCCATCTCTATTTGAAGAGCATCCCATTCTTCCCAATTTCTGCTGCCACCTTCTTCTCTCATTGCCTGCAGCTTTAGGGACATACCATCTTTCTTTAAAATCTGTTGTGACCTGAAGTGCTTGCTCCATTTGAGTAGGGCCAACCTGGTAAATTTAATCTTCTTTTTGAGCTTAAACATTAGAGTTCCTTCCTGATTTTCTTGCTAGGCTTGTTGAACTACTTCATCTAGCTCAGCCTTGCATAACCACCTTCTGTCAAAATTAAATCTTTTCTTGAATGTCTCTTTAAGTGAATCATCTTCAAACACCAATAGATGATGGTCAGAAGAACTCTTAAAATATGAGGTGGTTTGAGAG